ATTAGGAAGTCTTGTGAAAACTCCTTGGAAACTGGCTTTCAGTTCCTCGCAGATTTTCTTATGACTTTTTGTATATGGTCGCAATTACCGCGTAACGTGGTGGAGGTGGGGGTCCCTCGATTGTTTCAAGCGCGGGTTGGACATGTATATGAGTGGGATTGGGGGGTTATAGATAGGAGCTGCCTCGTATGGGCCAATAGGCCTTCTGCAGTTACCTTTGTTCTTATGTTCGCTCTATACACTGGTGCGGGTCAGTGCCGTGAATTGTGGTGTATTGACCGCTGTATATATGCGTGGTCAAATATTAATACGCTTGTATTGATAGATTGTATTGACAGTGTACTGTTCTAAATATCGTCGACTCTCTTTAAAAGGTTAATAAAACAATTTCTGTGGATTTAGTATATAGTCATCATTAATCATCGTTGTCATCATTTATCATCATCATTGTGATGACTACCGCTGTCAGGGTCATTATCACCAGCGTTGGCTGAAAGATCTCATAATCGTCATTGTCATTATAACCTCAAAATCAACCATGTCATCATTCTCATCATCACTACTTCAACCAGTTCTGGCATTTACCTGAGCACCACTAACCCTAGTGGCCTCGACGAGGACAGGAAGCTGGCGGCTTGTCGAATGCCCCCCCACCCCCACCCCCATTTGCCTTGATGATCTTTTTCCAGGTATATTGTGAAAGTCAGCGCCGTTTTGGCATTTACGGCTTCGGCGGGTAGGCGGTTCCACGGGTTAATAACCCCTGTGGGTAAAAATCTCCTGTTCTCAGTTCTACATTGTGGCTTGTTGAGCCTGACTCCGTTGCTCCTTGTTTGTGTTACAGCTGAGCTTCTGAAGAATATATATATCCGGATTAATGTCCTCTATGCTTCCTTTCCAGGTATGCTCCCAGAGACCGGGCCGCGGGGACCTTGGATCCCCGGCACCCACCGCAAGGTAAGGGAGAGTGCAGGACACGTGAGTTTTGACATGTGTGTGTATGACATATGTGTGTATGACATGTATATATGACATGTGTCTGTATCACAGGGATGTGTCCTGGGCAGGAGTCGTCAAACACGGCTCCCCCAGCCCAACCACTTGGGCTAGACGGTAGAGCGACGGTCTCGCTTCATGCAGGTCAGCGTTCAGTCCCCGACCGTCCACAAGTGGTTGGGCACCATTCCTTCCCTCCCCCGTCCCATCCCAACTCCTTATCCTGACCCCTTCCCAGTGCTATATAGTCGTAATGTCTTGGCGGTTTCCCCTTGATAATCCCCCCCCCCCTCTTCATCCTGGTATAAGATATACTGAGCTTTGTAAATATTATCAGAATACTGGAACCCTTGATATGGTGGATCTGTGCCCAATATTGACTGTAATGCATCAGATATTTAATATATGTGTTGTAATTATGTCTCGGATTTGTAAAAACACTTAAAATCACTTTCCTTTCAATTGTGGTAAAGTGGTCAATAACTCCAGAATATTGTCAACCCACTACAATCACCCAATCACCTGTGGTTGAGTGCTCAGTAACTTACTACACTGTATGATGTATAACAGATCTTTGTGACCCTCTCCGTGGAGGAGAGAGACGAACATGTATGTATGTATGTATGTATGTATGTATGTATGTATGTATGTATGTATGTATGTATGTATGGTGCTTACCACTCTACAGGTGTATGGCCACGTCTGTCATACACAAGACAGGACCTGTGTATTACTTAGCAATTATATCATTCTAGTTACAGTCCAGCCCCCATCTAAGGTTACAGTCAGCCCTATCTAAGGTTAAAGTCCAGCCACATCTATGGTTACAGTCCAGGCCCATCTAAGGTTACAGTCCAGCCCTATTTAAGGTTAAAGTCCAGCCACATCTATAGTTACAGTCCAGGCCCATCTAAGGTTACAGTCAGCCCCATTCATCTTAGCTGGACATTCATCCTACTCCCATGGGCAAAAACTGTATTCCATATATAACCAGCTGCTGTATTCTCCAGTGATTAGCTTCTCTAATCCCCACATCACCGGTTACCGGACCCCCCCCCCTACTTGACCAATTACAGTTCAATTACCCCCCACATAACCAATTATTGTATCTCCCACCACAAGGCCAATTACTCTATCCCGCTACTCAGAACGAAATGTCCATGTAGCACGGGCTATGGTGAGCCCGTAATCATAATTACTAAAGCAGTATGACTATGTAGCACTCGGAAGGGGGTAGAAGGAAAAGTTGCTGGGGAATGGGGACAGGGGGTGAAGAATGGGTGCCCAGCCACTTGGAGCATCGGGGGATCGAACGCCGAGCTTTCTAGATGCAAAGGCATAGCTCTACCGACCAGTTAATATCAGTGGAAGGGGAAGGGAATTATCAGGAGAAAGCACCACGAAATTACGACTATATAGCACTGGGAAGGGGTCAGGATAAGGATTTGGGATGGGACGGGGGAAAGGAATGGTGCCTAACCACTTGGACGATCGGGGATTGAAC